GCTTAGAAATGGCTTCCTCTTTGCACTGTAGAGTTTCAGCTGGCAACTGCGGATGGCACGGTAGATTGTGTTCACTGACAATGCTTTCTGGAAGTGTTCCTGAGCACATTCTGTTATTTCCTTGACAGTGGCATTCCTGTTTGAGGTGCAGTGACGTTTAAGGGCCCGGAGATCACGAGCATCCAGTAGAGTTTTACGGCCTTGACCCTTACGCACGGCGATTGTTCCAGATTCTCTGAATCTTTTGATGATGTTATGCACGGTTGATGATGATAACTTAAAAGTCTTTGCTATTTTACGCTGGGTAACACCATTCTGGTATTGTTGCACTATCTTTCTGCGCAACAATGGTGGAACTGGTGATCCTCTTACCATCTTGGCTTCTGAGAGACACTGACACTCTGAGAAGCTCTTTTTATTCCCAATCATGTTGTCAATTGACCTAATTAGTGTTAATTGGTCTTCCAGCTGTTCGTTATATGCTCAATTTCCTTTTTCCAGCCACTTATTGCTACTTGTCCCAACTTTTTTGGGATTTGTTGACACTGAAATTTTGAATCAACATATTTTTCCTTTAAAATGTTACATTTACTCAAATTAAACTTTTGATCTGTCATCTATGTTCTATTACAAATAAAATATTGACATTTGCCATCTCCACATCATTGCATTCAGTTTTTATTCACAATTTGTTTAGTGTCCCAACCTTTTTGGAGTCCGGTTTGTACATGATACAGCCACATAGCAGCCATAAACATATTAGTTGACACAGATGTGGCTTGGTACAATGTTATTGTCAATAGTTCAGTATTATTGTCAAGAATTTACCATTTACTAATTGGCTTTTATGTATGTGAATGTTTCTGTAAAGTGCCCTGAGACAACTTTGTTGTGATTTGGCGCTATGTAAATAAACTGAATTGAAGAGTTTATTAATCTGACAACTTGTGGGTAATAACTGTCTGAGTCTTTTCGTGCACGATGGCAGACTCCTGTATCGTCTGCCTGAGGGTAGTAGATGGAAAAATCCTTGTGCTGGGTGGGTGTGGTCCTTAATGATGCTGCGTACTTTACGCAGACATCGTCTGTGGTAGATGTAGCGGAGCTCTCATCAGTGCTGCAATACTGTGGTGCATGTGATGAAATAATGGATTTGGCCATAAGAGAAAAACTGATATCAGATTGAAGAGATGGATAATACAAATAGACCCCAGAACAACTTAAAAAAGTTTAGAGGTCCAAGGTCAGGGTACATCAGTGTCAGATTGGACCATTCGTCAGTTCTGAGTATAAGACCTAGGAGGACTCCACTGTTTATTGCAAATTATAAAAACGTGATATGTGAATTTGCTGAAATGCATTTAAAGTTTCTGGGAGGATGTACTTTGTGTAGAAGAGACACAAATGATGGTTTTAGACAAGAATCTCTTTGTTCACAGACCCAAAACTGAATCGTACAAAGAAAGGAACAACCTACAGTAGAACATGGAGGTTCTAGAGCTGCATTTGGCATATTGTCTTTAATCTGCACAATTAAATCTTAAGACTATCAAGGCAGTCTATGGTAAAATGTGTTGCCCAGTGTCAGAAAGCTTCGTCTCATCTGCAAAAGTTTCTTAGGGAGTTACAGAAATCACTTGATTGGAGTGATTGACTCAAAAGGGTGTGCAAAACTCATTGGGTTAAAGGTAGCATCCTTTTTGTCAAGGCCTGTTTTATTAGTTTTTTTTATTCTAGTGAACCAAAATTCAAAAGAAATAGTTGATTATTATTAGTAAAATACTGTAGTCAGTTTCAACTTATTTCAGTGACCAATGTTTGTTTTTTACTTTTCAACAAATGTGTAAAATAGAAATGCATCAACGTCTTTGATTAATTAAATGAATGTTAGTCTGAGAGTGAACTCAGCAGATAGGTGCAATAGTTTACAATCAACAAAACATTTATGAAACAATAATGTAAAACTTGCAGCTTGGACCCATTAACAATATTTGGCATGCACCAGGGTTAATTAACATTTAGTGACAGTTATAATTTACTCAAATAGTGCAAATTATTTAAACAAGTATTTTATGAAATTATGAAACAACCGTATACTTTAGATTGAATCTCTGTCGTTGTATGAGTGGTTCTGTAGAACTGCATGCTGTCTCTTATGAAGGCACTGTCTCAGTGCATTCAAGTAAAACTATAAATTGCTGTGGTTCAGAAGACATTATCCAATGTTTGAATTTTTTCCAGTCAGGCACACTGGTGCTGCTGTCTCGTGGTTCACCATGGCCCAGAACCAGGTGATTTTGCAGTTCCGCTTTGCCACTTTTGGGGACTCCATGCTGCACAAGATGAACCTCCTCCGTCATCAGAGACGCTTTTGTGATGTCATGGTGCGCATCAACCAGCTGGAGGTTCCCGGTCACAAGGTGGTGTTTGCTGCCGGCTCGTCTTTCCTGAGGGACAAGTTCATCCTTCAGCAGGACTCAAAGGAGGTCCAGATCTCCATGGTGCAAGAGGCAGAAGTTGGCCGGCAGCTGTTGCTGTCCTGCTACACAGGTCAGCTGGAGTTTCCAGAGCTGGAGCTGGTGCATTACCTCACAGTGGCCAGCTTCCTCCAAATGGGCCACATTGTGGAGCAGTGCACTCAAGCTCTTAGCAAGTTCATCAAACCTCAAGCCTCACGCCAGCTTGAGGTGGACGAGGACATAAAGCGTTTGAAGAGGGACGAGAGCTTCTCCTTTCAGTCAAAGAGAGATCCTCCTGAGCACTCTCATGTTCAGACCATTCCTGAGGGAGAGGAAGAGGTGGTGCTGGACCAGGTTGAAGGAGACAATAATGTTGACAGTGACGATGATGATGACGACAACGAAGATGACGATGAAGACGACGATGATGATGATGTAATAATACAGCCCGAGAGCCCTGCTCAGATTGTGAGGAGGCATCCGAGGCAGAGTATGGTGAAAGGTGACATCACCATAGTGAAGGTGGAGTCTGTGTCCGATGCTGCAGAAAACTCCCTCAATGCTCACTTACCTGCCAGCCCCCCTGCAGCGCTGCACTCTCCTGAGCCCCAACACTCCACCATCAACTCCACCGTTGACAGCCGTGGCAGCGAGACGGCAGCTCCTCCTGGTGTGGGTGGATACCTCCTCAACCTCCCGTCCCTGTCCCCTCCTACAGAGAAATACAGCGTACACCAGAGAAATTATGACAAGCCGCTGCAGTGGTATCACCAGTGCCCCAAGTGTGCCCGGGTCTTCCGTCAGCTGGAGAACTACGCCAACCACCTCAAGATGCACAAACTGTTCATGTGCCTCCTCTGCGGCAAAACCTTCACTCAGAAGGGCAACCTGCACCGACACATGCGTGTGCACGCTGGCATTAAGCCGTTCCAGTGTAAAATCTGCGGCAAGACTTTCACCCAGAAGTGTTCCTTGTTGGATCACCTCAACTTGCACAGCGGGGACAAGCCCCACCGGTGTAACTACTGCGACATGGTGTTCGCTCACAAGCCAGTGCTACGTAAACACCTCAAACAGATCCACGGCAAGAACAGCTTCGACAACGCAAATGAAGGCAGCCTGCACGAGGGCGCGCTCGAGTTAGATTTTGGACAAATGTTAAAATCCTGAACTGTTTCTTTTTTTTTTTTTGCTGTTTGACATCGTGAGATGACGTGTGGGACTTGTCGTTACAGTCAGAAGTTTAAATCCACTCAGCGTGGGCATGATTGTCATGTTCCTGTGGAGCTTCTAACGATTCATTTGAACCTACATCACACAGTTGGTGTTTCGGCTGCTTCAGCCGGCTGCAGCAGTTGCCACAGAGAGTGAACTTGCATGAAAGATTTGGTAAATGGTAAATGGACTGTACTTATAAAGCGCCTTTCTATCTTATTTCAAGACACTCAAAGCGCTTTAAACTACAATCTGTGTCCTCATTTACCCATTCATACAGCTCTATACTAGATCTCTACAAAGCTAACTGAACAAATCACTCTAAAGAGACTAATCAGAGCTTTATCACATTCATGCACTAATGGGACACACATCAGAGGCTATGAGGGGTTCACTGTCTTGCCCAGGGACACTTCAGCGTGTGACTGCTGGTGGATTCAAACCCCCAACTCTCACATTGGAGGATGACTGCTCTAACCACTCAGCCACAGCCGCCCCTGGTAATTGTTTTATGCCAGATGGTCTTCCTGAAGCAGACTTGGCTCAAACCAGCATCTTCAAAGATCACAAGAGTTTGGCATTTAACCACTGAGCTCCTGCAGAGGCAAAAACAGCTGATTAATCCATTAACATCAGATACGTTGTCAGGTCTCATTAAGAGAAGAAACCAGAGTTCTGCCATTTAAAATCATATTTGTCATCACAGTTGATAGAGCTGCTGCCTCAGCGAGCAGGTCGCTACATCAAATCCTGTCCGGGGGCCTCTCTGGGTGGAGTTTGCATGTTCTCTCCGTGCTGCGTGGGTTTTCTCCGGGTACTCCAGTTTCCTCCCACAGACCAACAACATGCATGTTAGACTGGTTGGTGACTAAATTGTCTTTAGGTGTGTGACAGAGTGAATGGTTGTTTGTCTCTGTGTGTCCCTGTGATGGACTGGAGACCTGTCCAGGGTGTCCCCTGCCTCTCGCACTGGGACTGCTGGACATGGACACCAGTGACCCAAAAAGCAGGTAAAGATAAAAATGTTATTAGTAAAGAAGCTGATCACATTTAAATCTGTCCTGAATGTTGGAAAACACTAACACTGATTTTACGCAGTGATGTTCAACATGTGCACGTGCATCTCAAAACATTAAATATTGTGGAAAAGCTCAGTTTTTTTTGTCAATAATTTCAGAACATGAAATTCTTATATTACAAAGATTCAGCGTTCACACTGGTGATGTCCTGTTGGGTGTCTTCTGTATGTTTTTCAGCATCTAACTCGTCCCACAGTTGTTAAGCTACTTCAGCAGTTTAGGTATGAAAACATTCAGCTTGTTCAGGAGACTCCTGCTGTGACTTCTGGTATTAATATCTTCTAAACTTTTTGAAATGTTGAGCTTTTTCAGCAAAATGTTTCTAATTGAAATGCGTTGTGATTGTGTGAAGTCCTTCAACGTGTTACTGGGTTATGTAACTCTACTTCAGCGTACTTCCACCTAGAACGTCCATTCACGTTTTAAACAAATCACAAGACATTCAACTATCACCAAATGTTTCAGCTTCTTGATATCTTCAACCGTTCGTACAAATTCAGAGTTTAAGTTAAAGTTTTGATGTTTCTCTCCTGCTGTGTTTCCATAGTAACAGAATGTAGCTGGGAGACAATAATAAATTGTGAAGCGGGTAATATTATAAACTGGAGCTACAAATGTCTCATTCCTCAAGTCCAGCCACTCCTGAACCAGAGACATCAGAAGTGTCTTACCTGCTGAGGACTATTGCTCAGTGTCCAATGTCCTCTTTTCAGATTAAAGCAAATGTTCATGTCATTTATAAATCAAGGTCCCAGAGTCTGGAGGAAGAGGAGAGAGGTCCAGAAACCATGTTGCTGAAGTCCAGAGAGAAGTTTCCACAGTCACAGATGGTTTGGGTCCATGTCCTCTGCTGGTGCTGGTCCACTGTTCTCTGAAGTCCACGCAGCATCTAGCAGGACAGTTTAGAGACTTCTTGCTTCGTGCTGCTGACGAGCTTTGTGGAGATGCTGGTTTCATCTTCCAGCAGGACTCGTCTCCTGTCCACACTGACAAAGGTACCAACATCTGGCTGTGGAAGATTCTCATTTTCTGACACTGATGTTTGGTTTGTCGTTATAAAATATAATCATCAACATTACAAGAAATAAAGGCTGGAAATATTTCACTGTAAATGTAATGAATCTTTGTAAAATGAGTTTCACTTCCTGAAATGACTGAAAATATTTGACATTCATGATGTTCTAATGTTTTGAGAAGCACCTGTGTTGTTGACATCTCCATCACATTTACATCTGGGCATCAAAATAACTAAATGTATATTAGTATCATACCCATAAAACAGTCATTATTAAACAATGTGATATTTTAGACGTCCAAAGTCATAGTTGCATTTTTTGTTTTTAAATCAAAGCAAATAATCACGTGATGCATTTTTAAAAGTTCTGTTTAATTTTGTAATTATGTTTTTGGTCGAGGGTTTTGTCCCGGTCCACCACTGCTGCCAAGGAGCGTGGTGAAATATGAAGCCAGAAGCTGTTGATGAATACAGATGTGGTCCAAGCTCAACATGCTGGGAGACCTTTAACCAGATGTTTCTGAGAGTTTGTGGATGTATGTGTGGACCGGTGAAAACCAACGATCCTTGTGCTGCACCCATTTGTTTTTCTTTCACAAACCATTGAAACTGTTGGATATGCATTATACTTCAGTAAAAGAGTGGTTCACGTCAATTATTAAAAGCCCCAAATTATTATGATGAGTGTATGTAAACTTCTGGCCACAGCTATGAAAGATGGACAGATGATTTAAAACGTTGGCTGTGTCAGACTCTTCCTCGTGGCTTGAACAAAGTATTCCACGTCTGCATGTCACTGTAGCTCCAGTACTGTGGATTCTTGTTATTTGTGTACAAATACAACGTAGATGCCTTCATCTCATACTTGAAAATGTAACAGAAACTATTATCAACTGAACATCATTTAATCTATGGATTGTCCTGGCTCTGTGGGAGAGAGAGAAACAGCAAAATGTAATGTATCCTTTTGTATTTTATGTATAAGATCTGCTGTAGCCTTTTTTATACCCATGTACATATGATGTAAAAAAAAAAAAAAAACTTGAAAATGAGTGAACGCTGAAGGTATTTTAATGTTGGGTCAAAAAGAAAGTGTCTGATATAACATGCCTGTTTTGTATAAACTTTATATCAGAGGTACAAATTGACCAAACGCCTGTTTCTGTCTTGTGCTCATGAATGCGTCGTGCTCAATGAAATAAACTTCTGTGTTGGTTACAGTTTGATGAGGTTTCTTCCTCCTGTGCTTGAGTTTAAAATGGACCACTGTGTGTGCAGGCTGAGTCTTCCAGGTCTGCTGGGAGTATCAGGACTATGTAAATGTGAGGTGAATCGTTTCATTGTTCATGCTGCAGTTCAGCGCTCTTTAGTGGAGGATGGTCTTTGCAAGGTGACGGGACAGACTCGTGCACGCTTCACAGAATGAGAGAGTTTGCGTTCAAATTGTGCATGTTGACACAAGCAGCCATCCTGAGCTGGGCCGCCTGGCTGGAGTGAGCATGTGACCTTAAACACCGACTACAGGTGTATTATTACAGTTTGTTATTGACAGGTGGGCGATAATGTAATTGTGTATTAACAAAATTTAATGATAGCATGGACTGATGTAAATTAAACTTGCATAAAATCATTTGATACACCTTACATTTCATTGCAGCCGGTGATATTAGAGATCGGAGTGCGATTTGATTATTTGATACAACTGCCTGCCATATATTGATGCACTTAAACATTGCTCGAAGGCATTTTATTTAACATGTAGAGCTTTATTGAAGCATTGTTTTCAGATCTACTTGTGCTCACGTTGGCTTGAATCTGCTACTGGGTCCCATATGTTGTGCTCATTGATGTCTGTGTTAGAAAACACAAATAAACCAAGTTAGGACATGTAAACATCTAAATGTGCTGTGCTGTAGAGAAGTAAAGTCAGAGAGTTCGTGGAAGTCACTTACTGACTCAGCATCAGCCTCCTCAGTCAGATATGATGCTTTCTGTCTGCTGTAAAGCTCTCTCTTCCTCATGCACGTTAACATGAACCAGTCTGTAATCGCTGGCGCCTGACGGGGAACGTGAACACTTTAGTTCTGTAGATCATCAATTTCTGGGAGCTCATTTCAATATATTCTACTTACCAAACTCAGGAAGGCCAGTGTTGCACCCAAGTTCACTATGGTTGGTATGATGCCAAACCTTCCAGCCTGCAAGAACCCAGACCCAAAATTAGTAAGAAACTGAATATAAAAATGTTATTAAAGAGTTTTCTTTTTTAATTTTAGGATCTAAATTGGCCTCACAGTTCCAAAAACAATGACGTCAAAGCGAATCCCATACGCTTTGATTAATGTTCTTCTTTCCTCTGCGTCTGCTGTCTTGTAGTATTTTGCAAACCTGAAAAGAGTTATTTGTTACCGTTTTCCTCCTCCTCATTATTATTTTAATAAAAGTGTATAAAAAGTAGGTTTACCTGAAGTTGTAACCAGGAGCTATGTTATTGGCAGAGTTTTTGTTGTCCAGCCTGCGGAAGCTGTACTTGGGGTAACACTTCCCGGCCCACCAGTCCAGGTCGCAGCTCCAGTCAATGAGAATACCAAGAATGCCACCCTTTAAAACACCCCGTACAAGTTCAAGACTAACGTTACCATCTTGACACATCAATTCTTATTATTTATTCGGTTTACCTCACTGGTGTAGTCTACACTTTAGTAGTGGGTATACTGTGCTTAGAAACCAAATGTAATGTAATCGCCAATTTATTTAGATTTTAAGCATATTGGACATTTCCAAATTTCTCTGATGCTTATATATATACTTTATACTCTGTATGCCTGAGTATCACGTAGACCACACCACTGGTTTACCTTCACAGCCATGTCCTGAAAGTCCTCTCCAGCCTCGGAAACAATGTGTTTGAGGCGAAATATGGGGCAGTCGGGGTCACTTTTACGATTGAACTCACATCTCTTCAGGTATGAGGAGTTAATATGAGGCAGTAAGTTTCTCCTGCAGGAGGAAATACAGACCTGAGACAAAACTGTGTCACCCCCAACCCCCATTCAGAAGTGATTTACTGACCTGTGAAAGTTGAACTTTTGGTAACTGATGCTGTTTTTGATCAACACGGTAAAGTTTTCTGCTGCAGCCAAGAGTGCACGTCTGTAGATGAAAGAAAAACATAAGCCTGACTTAAATCATACAACCCCAATCTGTTGTGTGAAATTTATATAAAAACAGAATGCAATGATTTGAACAGCTTATAAATTCACATTTATTCACAGTGAATACAACTAGGAAAATGTATCATTTTGGGGGACGGGACTACGTGAAGTCATTTTGCATTTGATGGCAACACATCTCTAAAAAGTTGGGACAGGGGTAGCTATGGTTGTAAAAGTAAATGGTAAAGATAAGAAACTGGCAGAACATTTTACAACGACCATATTTTTCAGCCTATGAGTTGCTTCTTTTTTTTGTGTGCATAATTTGCATGCCCTCCGACTTATAGGCTGAAGTGACATCCATCCATTATCTTTTACCCGCTTCTTCCATTTTGGGTCACGGGGGTCGCCGGTGCCCATGACCACCGAAGTGACATATTTGTGGATTTTTTGGCTGAGATATGACTGTTTTTATTCATCCTGACTGAAAATATTGAACATAACAATTTTCAGCTGCTAGATGGCACTCGAGTTGTATGGCATGCCGTTGTATCATGTAATAGGTAAAAGTGGCTATTAATGTCACAATCAACTTGCCATAGTCTGTCACCTTCATCCAGCTCGCCTGGAGCAACTGTCAAATCAGCTTCATTTCACTGCGCCGTCCCGGAGAAATGCAGCTGATTTGACCATTGAAGTGCAGTTATTAAGGAAAAGTTTGACTGAGACACACCTTTACTATAATTTTGAGCAAACAAATAATTGTTTTTAAGTGTTAATCTTGTTAAATTCTTGTTAAAGTCCTCCCGTGCACGCTCCTGCGGCCACCATTTAGCAGCCATTCGATTTTTGGCACAACACCGGCCCACATTTCTGGGTTGTCAGCGGTGACGCATAATTGATACAACATATTTTTGGATTTTCCACTTTATTAGACATATTTGGACTGATGTGACTTATAGGGCGGTGCAACTGGTACAGTGGAAAATACGGTATTGATTGGCAACAAGTCAGTTAAAGGACTAGATATAAAAAGAGCCTTTTAGAGAGGCTGTATCTGTCAGTGGGCGGTGCAGTAGTTAGAGCTGTCGCATCCCCACAAGAAAGTCGCAGGATCATCTCCTGGCTTTTCCATGAGGCGTTTTCATGTTCTCCTTGCATGCTTAGGTTTTCTCAGGATACTCCGGCTTTTTCCCACATATCATAACCACGTATCTTAGTTTAACGCTATATTGTCCATAGGTGAGAGTGTGAAGGGTCGTCTCGTTTGTCTCTATGTGTCCCTGTGATGGACTAGTTGCAACCTGTCCATTGTGTCCACCGACTCTCAAAGAGTTACTGCTGGAGAAAGAACCAGCTTCCCGCAACCCAAAAAGAGAAAGGATTAAAGAAAATCAGTGGACAGACGGATGGATGAGTGGACGAATGGATGGATGGATATTTGAGCTCTGAGGCAGCACTGCATTAAAAAAAGGTCTGGTTCTGTTCTGATCGTTGTTTGGGCTCAGGAACACAAACCATCCATCCATCCATCCATCCATTGTCTTTACCCGCTTATTCCATTTTGGGTCACGGGGGTCATTGGTGCCCATGTCCAGCAATCACTGTGCGAGGGGCGGGGTACACCCTGGATGGGTCGCAAGTCCATCGCAGGGCCACATAGAGACAAACAACCATTCACTCTCTCACTCACACCTAGGGACAATTTAGAGTTACCAATCAGCCTAACATGCATGTTTTTCTAACATGCATGTTTTTGGTCTGTGGGGGAAACCGGAGTACCCGGAGAAAACGCACACATGCACGGAGAGAACATGCAAACTCCACCCAGAAGGCCCCTGGACCGGGGTTTGAACCAAGGACCTGCTCGCTGAGAGGCAGCAGCTCTACCAGTTGCACCACCGTGCTGCCCAGAACACAAACCATTGTGTGTAAACACAGTACATTGTGCCAGAAATACTGCTTAAAGCTCTATCGTGCAAAGAAGATGTCATAGAAACACCAACGTTTCTTTATTTTGAAGTGAGAGTGGAAAAATGTTCTGTGGTCAGACGAACAGAAATGTGAAATTCTTCTTTGAAAATGACTAACGCCACATTCTTTGTAGTAAAGAGCAGACGGACCATCCAGCCCGTTATCAATGCACAGTCCAAAAGCATGCCTCTCTGATGGTATGGAGGTGCAGTCATGACACCGTCAATGCATAAAAGTATATACAAGTTTTAGAACAACCTGTGCTATCATCCAGATGACTTCTTTTTCAGGGAAGACTGAATAATTTAGCAAGACCATGCAAACCTCATACAGCATCCATATTGGCTTCATAGTAAAATATACTGAACAAAAATTTTAACATTTTTGTTTTTGCCCCCGTTTTTCATGAGCTGAACCCAAAGATCTAAGACTTTTTCTATATACAAGGGGTTGTGGGGGGCCAAACCCCACAAAATGAGGGGGTATGGTTCGGGCACTGGGCAGGTGTATGTTATGGACAAGAAGCACATGGACTGGTGTGGTTACACATGGTAACCAGTTACACATGGTCTGTGGTTGTGAGGCCAGTTACTGCCAAATTCTCTGAACATGGACATCCCTGCAGTCAGCATGCCAACTGCACGCTCCCTCAAAACTTTCAACATTTATCACATTGTGCTGTGTGATAAAACTGCACACTTTAGAGTGGCCTTTTGTTGTGGTCACCCTGTGGACACCTGTGCAATAATCGTGTTGTCTAATCAGCATCTTGATCAGCCACACCTGTGAGGTGCATGGATGATCTCAGCAAGGGAGAAGTGCTCACTAACAAAGATTTACACACATTTGTGAACAATATTTGAGAGAAAAAGACCTGTTGTGTACGTAGGAAAAGTTTGGCTTGTGAAAAATAGGAACAAAAACAAAAGTGTTGCATTTATATTAATGTTGCGTGTAGTCTAATTATCAAACTTATTTGCAAAATGTTGCATTCCATATTTATTTAACGTCTCATCTTGTTCAGAATTGGGGTTGTAACACTATCATGTATAAACATGTTGCATCTGCTCTTACTCAGGCAGCTTGGTGTCGATTTCAAGAGGGCACCATGAGAGCACTTCACATGTCTTCACAGTGGGTGAATAATTCTCACACAGTCCTGTCTGTATACCTGAGGGCAGAACTGGTTATTGTGGTGAGCAGAGTCATACAGCCAGTATATTTACAGGAGTCAGGTAATTAGGCCTACCGTTGCCCTGAGGATCACTAAATCCCGCAGTGCAGTCACAGTCGTCCACACAGATTGTTGATGGGTTTGGAAGCTGGAGGAGGAAGCAGCATGATTAATGAAGTTTGTGGTTTTCTTTTATAGAATAATGCCTGGAAGAAGTAAAGAGTTTCCTGAAGCTTGAAGAAAAACAAGTGTTTTTCATTTAAACACACGGGGATGGCAACATGAGAGATGAAATGTGTTTATTGTCCCTCATCGTGGAGTGAAAAGGGGGAATTGGAAATACCTTCTGTCCATGAACGCTGTGAGCATGATAACCTAAAACAAAAAGGTCAGGTACTGACTTTTAGTATGGCTTCATATTGACATAAGAAAAGTTTATTTTGAAAATTGGGTTGCCACGCCAAATTCAAGAAGGCCTCACCCTGTCTCCATCATTGCCCCTCATAGATAAAACTGTTCGTTCCACTCGCACACATCTACACTTCCACTTTTTTTTTCTTCACTGGCTCTCTAACGAGGCGCACGCATTCCTTCCCGCTCCCTGTTCTCCTGCATTTTTTTGCTCTCTGTGTATCAGAGCAGATCCTATTTTTACACATCTTCCAAAATGAAAAGTACTGTTTTGGATCTGACCTACTGGACTTTCGAGGTAAATTACTTTTTTTTTTTTTTTCAACAAAGCAACAGGGTCCTGGAGAACCCTCATCTCAAACGAGACGCATGCAGATGGATATATCTCTGGGGGTGGTTATGTCTACCTCTGCTGTTGATTGAGGACTCCAAAATTGCATATAATTGGATTTATTATACAGTATAAGAGGTTTCCTGTTTTTGGAATAGTCTGGATCCTGGTTTATCAACATACAAAGAAGACAGTCGCAGCTGATTTGGACCTCGTCAGGCTGCTGCCTATGTTTTGGTTCGTGCTGGAGGACTCACAATCAGCTGATTTACGAGCGAAACCATAAGTTGGAAGTGATTTGAATCGCAGGCCACCTGCGGCTTTAGGACTCGTCAGCATGAAAATGACCTTGAAGAGGCTCGGAAGCACGGACCAGTAGAATGCACCCTAATCTGGCCATTTCAGACCTTGGAAAGGTATCAGTACAGACTCAAGGCTGAAGGAAAATAGTCTGCCTGAATAAATCAACAAATGTGGTTATCTGAATCTCTCCCCAGCTGACCTCGAAACAGGAAGACTTAGCAATTTCTCCTGGGAAATGTGTAAACTAAGGAAAAGCTTCATCTATCACAACCCCCCTCCAACCCCTTCTGTGGAAGCTTATCAGAACTGTGCCGGCTGACCATCATCTTATCAGGACAATGGACTATCTGTTTAGTGCTTCATGGACCGTTTCGTCATAAATGTAACATGTTCATAAATGTGCTTCAGCTGGCAGAGTGTTTTTATGTCTTAAATCGTGTCCTGTCCACACAAGGTGTGAAGAAATCTTTTTAGTAATGCCACTACCCCTCTCTTCATGGCTTTGTCTCTTTTTCTATCTAAAAAAGTGTATTCTGAAAATAATAAGAAGGCCGTGCTTATAGCAGCAGCTTCGTGCACTCCGTCCATCTTTCGGACGGCTGTATGTACTTGTTGTATCTCAGTGCAATGATAATAAAGTTTATTCTGGTTCAAAGATCTGTCACTGTACTGCCTTAGACAAGGAATAAAAACTACCTCTGTTCTTCTTCACAGTGTAACTCCTAGCCACTTGAATATCTTGCACCAAAAACATTAAGGTTTACTTTCATTCCCTGTTTAAGTCCAGTCCAGACAGTCATTTCTCTCAGCGATGGGGGACTTGGGTGTACTGTACTGCTTGTTTTCACACAGACACTCACCTCAGGACAGCGTGACTGGGTTTGCTCGGGAGTCTCCACCAAGTTCGTCAACACAAAGAAGGAGTTATCCCCCTGTTAGACAGAAGTGCAAACATGAAATTTTCCAGTGGTTTTGCAGTGAAACCTACAGTGCACTCAGAGATACCTGAGGGGGGGTAACAAAGTCAGCAACGTCCCAAAATCGAGGCTCCATATCAGATGTGTTGGTAAAGACAAAACCTTTGACTTTGGTGGTGACAGAGCTGAGGACAGAGTCAGTTTCCTGGTAGGCCTTCTGCACCACACACACATACCTACAGCAGGTCAGCAGCAGTGTTACAGGGACTCTGCTGAACAACTTTAATGCAACATTCAATCAACAGTTTTGTAAAGTTCAGCCTGGTTTTTCATGACTTACCCCACCACATACAGCAACACCAGGAGCTGGATGAACCTGAAGACCAATCCTACCCTTAAGCTGGGGATGACCAGCGTTTTTGTTGTTTCATAGTCAAAAACATAATGTAGGCAGCTCTGGCAGCAGCCGGCAGCTTTGCTCATCGCGGCACAGTGACGGTAAAGAACAGAGCTGGACTGACAGATGGACGTATTCAAATCATCATATTCAAATCACACTCCCTGAAGATAGTGATGGAGCTAAATGTTTCAAGTAGTAAAAAATACTCCATGCAGAACGACTCTACTTTGGTAGTGTAACTGTTTCCACAGATGTGCACTTTCAGACCCATTTTGTTGTGTTTTCTATACAAACAGTGTCTATTTTGCCCATTTGTGCTGCGTCCAGGCCTCGTCTGAAGGAGATCTGTGATCTCAGTGGGATTTGCCTTGTTGAATAAAAGTTAAAGACAATTATTTTAAAAATTTGACTAACTCAAAGTCATCTCAGTTCAAGGTGGTTGCTATAGACGTTTAAAGATGATTATAACTCAGCCAGTTTTATAGATACTGAGCTAAAACTTGCTGTAGCACCATGCAGATCCTCTTGACTTAATACAATAATGATGTTGACGTAATGACATCATTACAAATCTAAATTAAAATATATCTAAATAAATATTACTACTTGTAAAAAAACATTTTTCAAGATCTCCACAACTGGACCTTTTATAAATGTGATGCCTAAATAAATAAAATATGTCTAAAAATCTTTAAAAAGTTTTAATGACAGACTTTTATGGAGGGCTAGTCTAAATATGAATTGCATTTTCATATTTCATTTCTCTCAGTAACACGAAAAATGTTTCAGATGTTGAAATTGTCTGCTGAACTTTCAGATCATTAACATCCCACTTAAGATAAATGATGCATTGTATAAAAGAAAATTTACGTTTCAGATTTTTATTTAACCCCTCTTTATTAAACTGATGTCCAATCAAGTTTTAAATAACTATTCAAAATATATTTGCAGATATTTGCAATTAGATTGTTGCTAGTAATTATTCCAGTTACTGTTGTCTACAATCACGTTGTATTTAGTCATAATGTGTACACTGGACAGTGCTGAAAAAGTAGATTTCAACATTATATTGAAATATTTAAAATATATGGAGTTAATATTTGTCGAGGAAAATCAACACAACAACTCAGACTTTTCAGCCTATTCACCTGTTCCTCTCATTGGTTCGGAGATACGTGGAGAAAAGACACAATAATCAGAGAGATTCAAGTTAAAAAGTATTACCAACATTTATTAAAGCTTTCAGCAGAAAGGAGACGCTCTTACCCCAAACCAACAGAGACACAGCAAAAGCCGTTGGTTACCTACTGTAACCCCAGAGTCTATGAGTATAGGCGTAGCCCTTTAAGAGCTGTCACTGGTGGTTTTTATCCCGTCATGCAACGCATCACACTGAAAAAATTTAGTCCAGGCCCACCTGTTGTGTGGGCCCCACCCGGTCCGTATAAATTACGTTAAGAGCGGGTAATCGGCTCCCAAATAGCTTTTTCTTCAGCCATTTAGGAGCCAGTGAGGCCCGACGCTTAAAGGGCTTTGCCTATACTCATAGAATCGGGGGTTACAGTACGTAACCAACGTTCTATTTCATATAGGGCACTTCACTTTCACTAAGGGCAGAATGTGTCATGGAACGAGCCGTCACATCACATAAATAGAAGCGAATAAATGAGCAGGGTGTTGACCACGCGGTCGCAGTGCAAATGTCCTGCATTGTCATACCATTAGACTTTAACCACGTGAATCTAAAGGACTGTCTCCCAAGCTTTAATCAGCATGTGACGATTCCGACACGTGGAGACCGCACGCTGGACCGTGTTTACACGAACGTAAAAGATGCATACAAAGCCGAACCCCGCCCCCACCTAGGACTGTCAGACCACATCTCAATCTTCCTGGCTCCTGCTTACATGCCCCCGCTGAGACGCTCCAGACCGGTACAAAAGAAAGTTAAATGTTGGAGCCAGGACAGTGGCCCCATACTGAGAGATTGTTTTGATCGAACAGACTGGCAGGTTTTCAGAGAAGCTGCTGAAAATGGAGGTTCGCTTGATCTTGACCAATACACATCCTCAGTACTGGGTTACATTAGTACATGTACTGACACAGTCTCCACTATCAGACATGTTAAAAGCTACCCAAACAGAAAACCTTGGCTGAATGCAGAGGTGCGTACCCTGCTGGAAGCCAGGAACACTGCCTTCAGGTCTGGAAACTCAGAGGAGCTGAGTAGGACAAGAAAAGAGCTGGTTGCTGGTATTAAGAGGGCCAAGGCCACATATGCAAAGAGGATCGAGGGTCAATTCATCTCACAAGACCCTCGGAGCATGTGGAGGGGCATTAAGTGCATAACAGATTGTAAAGGAAGGAGTGAACAATGTCCCAAAGACCCATCTCTGCCTGATGCCCTCAACAAGTTCTATGCACGCTTTGAAGACCCGAACAGACCACCCAGCACCAGACTCACCTCACCACCGGATGAAGAGCATCTCAGCGTGACCTCAGCTGAAGTAAGGAGTACCTTCAGGAGGATTAATCCGCACAAAGCAACTGGCCCAGACAACATCCCCGGAAAAGTGTTGAAGGAATGTGCTGATCAGCTCTGTGAGGTGCTGGCAGACATCTTTAACACCTCACTTACCCTGGAGACAGTTCCCACCTGCCTGAAGACTGCCACCATCATCCCAGTCCCAAAAAGCTCTACAGTGACTGGTCTGAATGACTATCGGCCAGTGGCCCTCACCCCGATAGTCGCTAAATGCTTCGAAAAACTGGTCATGACTCACATCAAAACAACCATCAACATGAACGAGGACCCTCATCAGTATGCATACCGTGAGAACCGATCAACAGAGGATGCCATCTCCTCTGTGGTCCACACTGCTCTCACCCACCTGGAGCAGAAAAACTCTTACGTCCGTATGCTCTTTGTGGACTTCACATCCGCCTTCAACACCATGATCCCCCAAACCCTGATGGACAAACTATCCACACTAGGACTAAGCCCCTCCATCTGCAACTGGGTACTAGACTTTTTAACAAACAGACCACAGTTAGTGAGGATCCACAACCTCTCCTCCTCCACCATAACCCTCAGCACTGGCTCTCCTCAGGGATGTGTGTTGAGCCCCCTCCTGTTTACTCTGCTCACATATGATTGTGCAGCTACCCATCCAGGCTGTCACATTGTAAAGTTTGCAGATGATACAGTGGTGGTGGGATGCATCACAAACAATGATGAGTCCAGCTACAGGCAGGAGGTGGAACACCTGGAGAGCTGGTGCAGAGAGAATAACCTTCACATCAATGTGAAGAAGACAAAGGAGATGATTGTGGACTTCAGAAGGAACAAAAACACCTACACCCCACTGAACATAAGAGGATCTGCGGTGGAAGTGGTCTCCAGCTACAAGTACTTGGGTGTACACATGAATGACAACCTCAGCTGGAGCAACAACACCACCAGCCTGATCAAGAAAGCTCATCAGAGACTCTACTTCCTCAGACGGCTGAGGCGAGCTGGTCTGGGTAGCTCAGTCCTCACCTCCTTCTACAGGTGTGCAGTGGAGAGCATCCTGTGCTCGAGCATCAATGTGTGGCATGGAGGCTGCACAGCTGCAGAAAGAAAAGCTTTGCAGAGAGTGGTGAAGGCTGCACAGAAATCTGTTGGAATCAGTCTCCCCACCATCACAGACATCTACACCTCCAGATGCAGGAAGAGGGCCACCTGCATCATGAAGGACCCCACCCACCCAGCACACACACTTTTTGCCCCACTCCCCTCAGGAAGGAGGTTAAGGAGCATTAAGTGTAGAACCACTAGACTGAGGAACAGCTTCTACCCTGAGGCTGTTAGACTCATGAATCTCTAACTAGAATAATCACTGTGAAAAACCATATCATGTTGCTGCTGATCTGTTTCATGTTGCTGCTGATCTGTTTCAATGTTGATGTGTTCATGCGTGCACATCTGCTCACAGACTCATGTTCATGTTTGTGGTGATGTTCAATGTTTTATGTTATGAGTGCTTAGTGTATATTTAGTTGATGTTTTTCTTAGTTCATATCTTAGATGTTATTACTGTTTTTCTTATACATTTTATTGTTGGATGTAACTGGGACCCTGTGTACATAATTTCGCTCCACCACATGTACCACATGAGGTGCGAATGACAATAAAGAAACTCTGACTCTGACTCTCTGACTCTGATTATGCAAAGCAGTCGAAGATGCGATACCTCTGGTTGAGTGCGCCCTGAGGTTGACAGGAGGCTCTAAATCTGATGCTCTGTTGGCTTCAGAAAAGGCCTCACACAGCCAGTGTGACAGGTGCTGGGTGGATAACGGGTGACCTACAGATGCATCTCTATAATGCACAAACAAATGTTGAGTCTGACGCAGTGCGGCCGTGCGTGTTATGTAGCACGTCAACGCACGTACAGGGCAGAGAAGATGGAAAGTGGCTTCTTCTTCTGATTGTGGGGAGGAGGGAAAAAATCCCTCCAACGATATCACTCTTGATTTAAAAGAGCTTGTGATGTTTTAGGCATAAAAGCTGGATTAGGCCTCAGATCAGCTGAGCTGCCATCAGCCTGAATTCTGAGACATGATGGAGCGACAGAGAGGGCAGATAAATCACTCACCCTCTTTGCGGATGTTACATCCAGCAGCAGGGCTGATTTAAGAGACAAGAATTTAATCGGAACCTGATCTAGTGGCTCGAATGGAGCTTTGATCAGGGCTCGCGGGACCAGCTTTAAATCCCATTGTAGAGCAAGTGGACGTGATACAGGCCTGCGTCTCTATACACCTTTAAAAAATGCTTCATCAGCAGATGATTAAAAGCTGTTCTGTCCCCACAAACCTTTGTGACCAGAAGAGATGGCTGCAGCGTACATTTTAATTGTGCTGAATGCCAGATTTCTGTCCATCAGCTGCTGCAGAAAAGACAGCACGCCACCTAGTGGACATGAGGTGGCCTCTACACCTTTCTCTGTACACAGGCGCTGATAAACTGTCCACTTTGATGTGTACAGCGCTGTGGCAGATGCAGCACGTGAATCCTGGATCGTACGCACTACATCTTGAGAGAGACCCATCCTCTCTAAGCGGATCCGCTCAGCGGCCAGACTCAAAGGTGCTGGCCTATTTCTGGGTAACTCCTGATCGCTCCTCCCGCCTGGAGGAGAGCATCCTCCCTCCACAGCAGTTTCTACGGGCACCCTGACAACAGGTGTCTTAGAACTGGGAACCATGGGGCGTTCACGCGCTCGGGAGCCACCAGGAGAGCTGTCAGTCCCTCCTCCTGAACTCGGTTCAGAAACCGTGATATCAGAGGGAGTGGGGGAAATGTGTAAAGAAGCATTTTGGGTCACGGGCTGTGAGCAAACGCGTCTACCCCTAGCGGTGGATCGTCCCATGGGCTCAGTGAGAACCATAGTTGACATTGAGCGTTCTCTCGTGTTACAAACAGGTCCACGGCCGCTTTGCTAAATTTCTGCCACGTCTGAGCCATCAGCTCTGGATGGAGGGTCCAGTCCCCGAGACGCAGACCGTCCCTGGACATCACATCCGCCCCACTGTTCAGAACACCGGGGATGTACACTGCTCTGATGGAGAGCAGATTTTGGTGTGCCCAACACAGCAGCTGTCTCACAATGTGTAACATTTGGGCTGGGCGCACACACTCCTGCCGGTTATGTATGCAACAGTCACTTGTTGTCTGTGTGAATCAACACATGATGATTCCGCAGCACAGAGGCAAAGTGTTGAATCACATTCAAAACCGTGCAACACTCCAAAAACATTTATATGAGCTGCTGTGTGGGATGGCCACAGTGCCCCCACAGCTCAAGAAATGCATGTGCTTCTGTGAAGTCTGACACGTGTGACGTAAGTCTGCTGATGGAAACAGCTGTTATCACTCTGCCGGTTTCACGTGAGTGCCACCTGTCTGAAAAACGGGTCAGCAGCAACAGATGTCCAAATAAAGCAGAATTTTCCTCCCTGCTCTGTGTAGCGGTTGCAGAGCCGACTCGACACATTTTGAATGGAAATGTTGTCTCACAGTTCAAAATTGACAAATCTAAGATGTGTCTCATCCTTCCAGTCCATTTTGGGACCAGGAAGTGATGAGAGTAGAACGTTGTGTTTTCCTCTCCTTCTGGGACCCTGGAAATTACATTTTTTATCAGAATTTCCTGAGCTTCTGCGTGGGGGGACGAGATCTGTTCTGGAGATGACAGAAAGCGTCTCTAGAGTTCCTCCAAATGGGGGGGTTGAGCTGTAATTGCAGCGTGAATCCCCTGCTGATAAAACGGTTCATCCATCTATCTGGAGTGCACGCTCACTGTCACTCTGCCTAACATTCGGGAAGCGGGCACGCATTTATGCTGCGTCACGTTATTTATGGATGCCAATCACCGCCGTCATGTGTGCCTCACTCAGGCTGCGGGCTCACATCCGTGCTGATGTGAGCTGGCGTGCACTGAGGGAAGGTGCGTGCACCCCGAGCATGCAGAACCGTGTAGGTGGAGGGCTGCCGAGGGTGCACGGTACTTCTGTGCCGCGCACAGGCTGCGGGCTCACATCCGTGCTGATGTGAGCTGGCGTGCGCTGAGGAAAGGTGCGCGCGCCCCCGAGCATGCGGAACCATGTAGGTGTAGGGCTGCCGCGAGCGTGCGGTGCTTCTGTGCCGCGCACAGGCTGCGGGCTCACATAAGCATGGATGTGAGCTGGCGTGCAAGTGCACCCCTGAGCATGCGGGGCCATGGGTGAGGGCTGCTGCTGCCGCGGAGGCGCGGCGCTACTGTGCTGCGCTCAGGCTGCGGGCTCACATCCATGCTGATGTGAACTGGTGTGCGCTGAGGGGAAAATGCGCGCGCATTTGAGCATGTGGGGCTGTGGGTGAGGGCCGCGGGTGCGCGGCGCTTCTGTGCTGCGC